CGGGGTAATTATCGTTTTGGTTGAGAGAGGCGTTTATATACGTCGGTGGCACTTAAGAAGTTAAATTCGTGTTTTAGAATTAGAGTCAAAATATTGTATGGAAGGGGGGGGGGGCCCGGCACGATGAAAATTGTGATTGAGTATTGGGTCTCAAATAGTGAAAGTTTGAGAAGCACTGCTTTAATTTGATAAAAGTTTATTTTTTATTATATGTACTATATTTCAATCGACTTTTCAGATAACCGTGTTAGTTAAACGAGTTACTTTTTATCCTTTCGTAATTATTGCTTTGAAAAATAAAATATTTCATTCCCTTTTCAATTTGATTATTTATTTGCTAGCCAAGAACATTTTAGTTATTTTCGTTTTTCACATCTTGCAAGTAAATGAAACAAAAATAATAAAAAAAAGATATACTAAATATATTATCCCCATTTGATAAGATACTTATTAGCATACGCATATAAATTAACATTAAATTTTCTGTCCAAATTATTAATTACGTTTCGATGATATTTTTCTTTATCCATCAAATATTTCTTCGTATATATTAATTTAGTAAATGAAATATTTGGTGTTGAGTGGTTCGGTGTTAGGTTTTACATAAAATTTTTCTCCTCGAATTTAAATGTAAATTGAGCTAATTTTTTTTACTTATTAAAATTGGTTTTAAATTTATGGTAATGAAAAGACATTCTTGGCTTTTGGTGCAAGGGAAAGAAACACGTAAACTCTCAAGAAGATTTAATCTTAAGACAATATTTTCTATATAATCAGAAAAATAATGTCAATTAATTCAAATTAATAAAAATGTACTCTGATATCAAAATTGTTTGCGAAATAAGCACACCAAACCATTAAGAAATAGCTCAATGGTTATTTTAAAATTCAAATTATTTTATGTGGGATTTTCCGAGGTTTCTTGAATTTTTTTCTTCACGTATTACATAAATAATTCATCAATAGGTAAATAAAGAAATTGTTTTTATGTGAGTTTGACTTCAATCTACGATAAATACTTTAAAAGAAGTTTTTCAGTGCTGTATTATATTTTTTAAAAATAATTTCATTACTGGTGAAAGCAGATATTTAATGCGTGACGTAAATACATGAACTTTATTTTTTGCACATCAAATTAGAGTAAAGCCGCATTCACACCAAGGCAGCCAGCGTCGAGCGTTGAGCATCAAGCCAATCAGAGACTTCACCTTGGGCGAAATGAAGTCTCTGATTGGCTAGATGCTCAACGCTTGACACTTACTGCCTTGGTGTGAATGCAGCTTAAGAATCATAGGAAAATTTTAAATTTGTTATTCTCATTTCATTTGTAAATCATTTGTGAAAATTGGGATCTCAAACAAAAATATAAAAGTGGGGAAACAACAATTAAAATCACCAAATACATCAAAATAATTTTAACTTTTTAATGATTCAGCAAGTTCGAAGAATTAATTAGTTTTATTTTTAGTCAATTCCTCTACAATTAGTTCACTCTCTCCCTATATATATATATATATATATATCTTGTTCACATTTTCAATCGTTAATAAAATACCTTCTATTCATCCGTTCATGTTCAAATACATTTTTAAAACTTGTAGTGGATGATACTTGATATTAACCCAATTTTTTCAAATATTAACTCATTAATTAATTTTTTTTAAATTTTAAAATTATTCTGCGATATTTTGTTAAAATTACTATGCGTCTAATGAAGTAGGAATTGACGTTAAAATTTTTTTTATATATCTTGTTTATCATTAAATACATTTTTAAGTTTAAAAATTATGCAGCTTAATTGTTATAATTTACAAGAGAAAAATTTTATAAGATTTAGCTTTAAAAACAATCAAAGTTAAGATGGCTACAATATATAAACTCGTTTTTAATAAATAAACATCTTCTTGGAACAAAATTCAACGTAAGTAGCTTTTCGTAGAATACTGAAATCGAGAAAAATATGCTTTTTACTTACTAATGGAAACCTTTCTGAAATTTAGAAGGGGAGAGGGTGGCATGAAATGGCTAAAGAGCTTTGATTAATTGAGTGCCGTAGCACTTTGATATGTTCTCTAAGACTAAAAGCAATTTTATTTTTGAACGTTCTTACTTAAAATTTCAAAATAACTCATTTTGAGAAGGTAAATAATGGCAAGGGAAGACTCGAAATCTATGCTAGACCGAATTATCTTTCAAAAGCTCAGTTTTCAGAAATAAAATGGAAGAAATGGAATTAAACTTATTTAAAAAGAGTATTTCTAGAAGAAAAACTAATAAAAGTTTGTGCATCGCAAGATTCTCTTTTATTTCTAATTTTATTTCAGTACGATCTCTTTTCTTCTGTTCTATCAAATCTTTATTTTTCCTATTAGTTCAGATTCATTTTTCGTAATTGTTTATGCAAATATAAAGGTTTTTATGAGATTATTTACAGCCACTGAATTTGTAAACGAAAGGTAATTCTACGAAAGTATATTTTAATTCGCGAATGGGATTTGTTTACAATACAAAGAAATACATCCGAAGGAGCAAAAATTATCGAGGCTTTTTCTTTGTGATTATATTTTTCCAGCGAATTTTATGAAAATACTTTTAAGGATTTGACACAAAATTTTCCCAGAAATCGTAAAAAAAGAAAAGACATTTTCCAGAAACCTCCCTTACTTTTGCTCCTTCAAAGAAGACTAATGTGCATTAGTTTACAGGTAGTATTGAATGACGAGAAAAAATACAAATTCAAATGCAGTTTTCATCTTTTGATAAATTAATACAACCAGATCTGTAAACAATAACCGTCTTATAAGTCCTACAGCAGAGGTGGGCGAAATTTTCCAGGGTACGGTGTACTTTTAATGTTTTTAAGTTGTTTTGGTCCATCTAGTAGCATCTAGTCCAAATGTAGCTATTCTGTATTAAAATTGCATGTTTTCTTTTTTTAACACTAGTTGTTGACGTTGCACTCAGGGACATCTTAAGAATTTTGAAGCCCTGGGGTTAGAGAAAGATTTTCTGAGGCCCAGGGTCCCTATGAAAAAGTAGGCCGTGTCTATGATTTCTAAAAATAGACAATATACAGCATGAATTATCAAATACTAGTATAAGCGGTAACTTGAAGCGAGTAAATGTGGACGACTCACAATCTCACAAACTGGCTCGACCAATGGCCGCATTTTTACCAAATGAGTTGAATGATTGTTTATTTCTTTAGCTTAGGCCTAGACATGGACAATGGTCATCACATAATAATACAGCCTTGCCACTTTTGCCAGTTGACGTGCAGTGAAATTCTCTGTTTTATGGAGAAGATATGTATATGTTTTATGGAGATAATATGGAACCATTAAAATCATCCGGGTCATAATCTTGTTAAGACTGCTTCGAGAACTAAACGAGGCTTCCACCGAGGGCGGGGCCCTAACCCGGACCCATGCCTTAAGACATCCCTGGTTGTACCCTTCTTTAAAAAATTTGACAGATTATCATATTTACTACAAAAACACAGAAAATTGTCAAGTTGAATGCTTGAACATCTATGAGAGAGACTGCTAGACTGTCGAGCGTGGACATATTCGATACAGTGAGCAGGGAACATATGTGAACCGATGAAAGTGAATCCGATGTATGTATTTGCCGCTGCTGAGTCCTGCATCTTCGCGGGTCATGACATCAACACGTGAGACACCAAACATCCTTAATTTAATGAAAACCTCTTAGTCTTTATTAATTTTGTTTTAATTTACACAATAATTAATATTTATTAATTATACACAACAATTCTCATGTTAATCAAAGATTAAAAGTTGGTTCTTTTCGATACAATTCTTCATTTTGTGACCCTGGTAAACAAAAACAAAAAATAAATTTAATTTTTTCTCTTTTACGTTTGACCCTATTTTTCTACAGCATTAGGCAGCATCATTTTTTTCCACATCGTTTCATTAATATAAAGGCCTTAAATTTTTCGTGTATGAACTTTTTTATAAGGTACATCACACTCATCCTTTTAACATTTATGCATTTTAAATGAATATAACACTGAAAGAAATTTTTTAGATGGGATGTGTTTTGAAAAAAAGAAACATAACAGAAAAGTAATACTTAAGCTTTTTTGATCACATGAAATGAAAAATCTTTAATAAGTACAGTTAATATTTATAGTTAGTAATTAATATAAAAATATTCTATAAATAATGATACAAATACAAATAATAAAAAAGTATACTCATGTAAAAACTTTTTAGTTATGTAAGAAATTCTAATGAACACTTTATTTATAAAAGACAATTATTACTGTTTATGTTGAATGCTAAAGGATATTGTGGTTTTTTTTGGTATTACGCACTTAATAATCATTTTATTTCAAACATATAAAAAGAAAGAAAAATAAGTTATAACTAGCTATCTCTCTCAATAAATATTGGTGGGTTAATTTTTTTTTTCATGATAAAATGAACCTACAGAAATATTTTTTTTATTGACCACTAGCTAAAAACCCAGCTTCTCATTAAGGCATCTTCATGTATAGATGCATAAATACCTTTATAGACTGTGCACAAATAGTATGAGAGTTATACCATTAGCAAATGTCGTAGATTTTCATAAAATTTGTAAAAGATATCAGATGATGCAACTTTTTTGAGCAAAAGTATGCAAATATTTAATACAGTGAAATAGGTTTAACGCGAGAATGTTTAAAACGAAATATCGGTTAAATGAATAATAATAATACGGTCACATCAAACTACTTCGTATTTCCACATGCATTTTTCAATTACTACTATTAGTTCACTCTCCTGATCAAATTTTCGATCGTTGATAAAATACTTTATCTTCATCCATTCAAGTTCAAATACATTTTCTTAAACTTGTAGTGGATGACACTTGATGTTTTAATGCATTCTTTCAAATATTAATTCATTAATTTAATTAAAAATGAATAAATATTAACAAACAAAAATAATAGTCCAACAACATATATAGGAAGGAAAATCGCCCGTTGTGTCCCTGCAGCGCAATCCGCAGCTCGTTGGACTTTTAACCCAAAGGTCGTGGGATCAAACCCCACTTGGGATGGCTTAATTTCTGAGAATATGATTTCTTTTTTACTACACTATTTTATTAGAATAATTAAATTTAATTAAGGAATAAATAGTAACAAAAATAATAGTCTAACACTCTATATAGAAAAGAAAATGGAAATTACAAGGAAAATCACTTTTTATTTAATTAATTAATATTGTGTGATTCTATTATATATGTATATACGTATTTATATTAATTGTAACTATTTAATAAAAAGTAACTAAAATGAAATTTTTCTTTGTTGACCTAAGTAGAAATTGATTTAATTTTCTTTTATATTTCTTGTTTTTCTCTTAACACGAAGCAAAAATTGCTTAACAAGAAACGATTTCCTCCTTAGAGGAACAAACAAATTACGGAAAACACCAGAGATTTAAGAGGGGTGTGTAATGAAAGAGAGGTGGATTCGCATTATATTTTTTGTATTATTGGACTGTCCTACTTTATCTCGGAAGAATTCATTGCAGTAGCTGATGATAATGTGTGAACAGCCCCTATTATCGCAGACAGACATTGTGGAGTTTCTTCAAGGCTCAAAAAGTATCCGACAGCGATATTAAAATGAATAATTCAGCTTCTTTTCTTCGGCTAAGATGAGGAACGCATTATGAAAATTATACGCAGTTATTTAGACGCACATTCCAATGGTAAAAGGAAGAAACAAATGGATGACATCAAGCAATTTGTTGACAATTTGATTCTAAAAAGGATAATGCAACTAGAAATTTCAGATTGTTTTCCAAAAGCTCAATAAACTTTTAGTTTTTTTTTTGTATTAAATTTCCTTGTGAGTGTTTTTGTTTCATTGATTTTTATTAAATATATGCATATATACATACCTTTGTAAGTAAAATGAACACCCTAAAAAACTTAATTTTGTTAAATATGTTTTTTTTCAATTTTGTTAACAGGAAAAAATATTTCAATCCTTGCAGTTTTATTTTAAATGATTTTCCCTGTATATATATATATATACTAAAAGGTTTCAATATTACTATTTTCAGTTAAAGAACCAGTCTGCTACACATTTTCTTCGAGTAAAACTTTTATTCTGCAGAATTATAAACTACCTCCACAGATATAAACTATTGAAAACTATAAATAAGCACATTAGTCTGAATTAAAAAAATTTAAATTTATAAAACAATAAAGAACAAGGAATTCTTTTGGAAATACCGAATTGCTTTCCTCAAAATATATATCAAAAATGCTTTAAAACATCTATTAAAGATCTAAAAAAGTCACAGATTAATCCTTCTAAAATAGATTCAAAAGAACAGTTTCAACGATTAAGGCAAAAATGGCAAATAAAATTCTTCGTATTTCTTATTTTTCAACTCCATTGTACAAGGTGACACACACACATGCACGCACGCACATACACACGAGACGAAGTATGTAATTTGAAAAAAAGAGTGGAGTTGGCAACAACTGTTTTCGTGACGTCATCCCACACACCTCCTCGGCCCTGTTGGAAGTACTGCGTCATTGAGTGAACAGGTGCAGCCGAAAAATGTAGAATCAACAACAAATCTTTTGTGAAACTTAAGAAATTAACAATGAAAACGTTTAAAATATTAACCGAGGTTTATGGAGATGAAACTTTGTCTAGTGCGCATGTGTTTGAATGGTATAAGAAGTTTTCCGGGGGAAGGATCAGTGTGGAAGAAGATGAACCTGCTGGATGCTTAAGGTCAGCGATTACAGACCAAAACATAGACAAAATTCATGGTATGAGTGGGTTTCCCCTCACATCAGTGGTCACACTTTTAATCAACAGTACTACTTTGAAGTACAAAAAAGACTTCGTGAAAAAATTAGGGAAAAAAAAAACAGAATTGGGGAGTGATAGATGGCTGTTGCACCAAGACAATGCATCCGCTCACATGGCCCTATCTGTCAAGCAGTTTCTGACCAGTAAAAACATTACTGTGATGGGGCATCCTCCTTATTCATTTGATTTGGCTCCATGCTATTTTTTCTAAAAATTTCCTACAGTTAAATCTTGCTGAAAGGGTCCATTTTACCTCATTTGAAGAAGTTCAAGCAAAAACGGAAACTCTCCTAATGTGACCTCCGAAAACCTTGTTCCAGAACTGTGACCAGTAGAGGCAGCACCGAATGCAGAAGTGTATGAATGCTGAAGGTGACTAATTTGAAAGTGATAATATCACAAAGAACTAAGTCTGTAAGTACAGTGATTTATTGGACCAGTCTGTTCTTTTTTTGTGTGTGTGTCACAACTCGTATTGTATTTAAATAAGTACAGTAGTCTAGAATATAGGGAGATTCTATATATATATATATATATATATATATATTGAAAAACCCTGAATCCAAAATTTCAAATAGACGAAAGCATTGAAAAAAAGAAAGGGGAAAAACATTGCGTTTATTTAACAAACGAGAGAATTTTTGAGTAAATACTTCGAAACAGCAAAATGTATGCAATGCTTAAAACTAAGAGTAATGGCCGTTTTGATGTGAATATATTCTTATTATTTATTCAGAGAAATGTCATTTGTTCTCACGAGTGTAGTTTTTTAATTTATTGTTGTTATTGCGCATGCCACCTGTCTGACACAGTCAGATCGAGGCCCACGAAATTCATCGTGGCAATGGGCTAGAAGTACGCCTGTCGTTGGCCTTAGCCTTGAGCAAGATACAGGTGACAGTACAATTTAGCTCAGTGAAATTCCCGAAGGGACGATAGATGGCGACAACACCTATTTCCACCTCCACAATTTAGGCATGGAACTGAATTGGAGGGAAATTTCCTCCAGTTCCCTGCACTCGTTATTCAGCCCACAAGACTTTCGGACCCACTGATTTAACGAGCACGTACTCCTCGTGTACTCGGAGGGTATTTGGCGGTACGGGCATCGAACCCAGGCCTTCCGGTCCGGAGTCCGGTGCTCTAACCACTAGGCTACCCACGGCCTGGTTTTTTTTAATTTAAACATGAGTGGTGTAAAATACTTTTTTCGCATATGATGATGTAAGATTAACCTCCTGTCAATGTTAAGCAGACGAAATTCTTTTATTAAAATTTTCCTCCATTTTAATAACTTAACTTAAAACACGGAAGATCACGTATAAACTGAATATTTTCTTTTCATAAGTAAAAATCTCCGTTCTTTAAATGTGTCTGCTATTTAGAAACTCATTTATTATTGAAAAATAAAGTATATTTTAGCGACCACATTATAATTTTTATTTCATTAAATTTACCCAAATGTAATAAAATAAGAAATGCTTTTATTATTTTATTATTGGCTATCGAATCTGGACGCCTAAAGAAATTTATATCTCCCCGCCCCCCCGCCCCAATTTACACTCTTAATCTCCACCTTTTAAATTCACTCCACATCAATATGTATATTTCGTACGGTTTTCAATTTTGTTGAAATATAAATCATCACTTTCCGAAAAATATCTTCAAGAAAAAAATTAAACAAACAAGACTATACATTCTACAAAAAGCAGATATAGTATAGTAGGATATTTTTATGTCACACTTTTGTTTCTCCCTGTTATTTCTATCTGTTGGAAACTTTAGTTTCAAACTTTTGCATTTCTACAACGAATATTTGTGTATATGGTGAACTTAATTTTTTTCTTTAATAATAAGTAACACTACATTTTTTTTTTAAAAAAAATAGATTTATGCATAAAAAAAGGAAGAAATATAAAAACTTAAAAAAATAACAGTTTCATGATTTTTTTAAGGAAATTATTTTGAGATTTTAATTAAAAAAATAGGTTTACTTCATTTTCTGTATTGCTTTATATGAGTATGAAAAATATTTTACATATTGAAAAGATAAACCTTTTAAAAGACGGTACTTAAATACAAATATGAGTGTATTATGAAATCTTAAAAACTATGTCCAAGTTAAATTAAAGACAAGAGAAAATAGAATGATTATAAAATATAATTATATTCAGCATAAAAAATTTCTAATCTCTATAGTAGAAAATTTAAAAGATATATACCACTTATTAAAAGATACATATCTTAATTTTGGCCTTTTGTTCTTTTAAGAATGTCCTAGTAACCTTAAACATATTTCCACCATTTCAAATGAAATTCAAGTAAAAATCAAATCTTAATACTGAGACAGAAGTAATTCAATTTTCGCGAATTTATATATTCCATCTCAATTTCTAAGACTTAAGCAAATATATTGAAAAAAAATCAGCGCTTTACAATAATTTTTTTGAGAATTTTTATTCAATTATTAATTTTATTTAATAAGTAATTTTATGTAATCTTTTAATTATCATTTATGAGACCAAAAATGAATACCTAAGCTTTGAGATGGAATTTTTATCTTTCATTGTTTCTTTTTTAAATTTGAGTGCTGAAATAAAATAATTCATTTTCATTAGTTCTCTATATTTAATAATTTTCAAATATTTCACTTTTCTAATTATAGAAGCATTATTCTTTTATGTTTATATGAAATTAAAAATAGACTGTGTTATTTTGTTAATTCATCGATAGGTACGGAAAATATAAATATCTTCTTAACTTAGATGTTCCTAATTAGCTGAAATAGCGGTTATAGTTAATGACGTATAGCTTTATCATAAAGTCGATAAATTTTAAAATAATTATATCTAAGAGTTATCTGATATAAGCTGGTTATAAAAATATCATTCAATATGGAATGAAGAATAAATGTAAAAGATATATTTGCTTGCAGAAACTGTTTTCCTTATCTACAAAATGTGTTTTGAATAAGATTAATTTACATTTTGATCATCAAAAGAAAACTTATTCAAATGCAAAATACGGATACTTACGTGTGTTTCTTTCAAGAAGTCAAATATTATTTTTTTTAAATCGGAAGCTATATTTATTTGTTTTGTAATCATTTTGTTGAAATAAGTTGTGTTTAAATTGAGTTCAATTTATGCTCTCTGTCTGCTGGCTTTTGAATTGACGTGCAGTTTCGGTAAGGAAATAAATAAATAAATTTAAAAGA